ATATATATACTATATGCCTGAGCCCCTCAGAAGGAAGGTTGTTGAGGCTTATACGGATTTAAAAACATTTCCAAACTACTTAAAATCTATCACTCCACAATAAACAACAAATGAAGCAGCCATACAAACAAGAAACTCCACAGAAATGGCACAGACAAGTATCCTGTTCAGTGTAAGAGACTGATAGACAAGTAGGCCTATAAGAAGAAACTAGAAGTATTTCTGCAAAAGGGAGCAATACCAGCTACTAAATATAGTAGCTGCTAAAATATATAATATAAAATATAGTAGTTTTTCTTGCACAGAATACAATTTCAGTTATGTTTGTTGAATAAAATATTTCAAAATCAAATGTTCATTATTATTTAATAAATAACACTTTCATCCATCAATAGTGTTCCAAATAGAGTTTCACTGTCGACATTTATTTCCCACATATTTTAAAAAGGGACAAAACTCATGGGATGTACTTACGCAGCACTGGTCACGTGATTCGCCAGTGGCAGCTTCTGCAAGCTAGCGGGGTGGGGTGGGGTGGCGTGTTATCACAATGATCTTTGTGAAGGACCGAGTTTGGGCACCCCTGGTTTACGCTGTTCAGTCGCAAGCTACTTTGCTCACACTAGTCCAATAAAACCGTGATTGGTATTTGAAAACATTCATCAGATTGGAGAGAATAGGAAACATCCACCAATGGGGTGTTTTTTGTTGTTGTTTTTACTCAAATTTCAGACTCATCACCTTTGAAAGTTTACTTGACCTCCAGTACAGTAGGTGGCGATAATGCTCCTAAGGAGTTAGTCGCCATAAAACGAAGAAGAAGAAGACAACAACATTAATCGAGGGTATCAGGGCGCAGAGCAACACTCCATCACAGTAGGTGGCGGTATGCACCTATGAAGTTGGTTCGCAACCCGCCATAAAACCAAAAGAAGAAGAAGAAGAAGAAGGGCGCAGAGCATGTCGGGAGATGTCTGTCCGGTGGGCGCCATATTGGAGCAACAACTATTGTTATAAATTGATACGGGGCTGCTGCTGGCTAAGTTTACATGTTTTCTGCGTGTTTGTTCTGAAAATATTTGGATATTTCTACGCAAGGTCATGAAAGAGATGTCAACGTAAGTGTTCCTTGTCTCCCAGTGATATTAGTAGGTTAAACGAGTTAGTTGTTGAGAAAAAATGCAGTGCTAGGCTAGTTTAGCCAGTTTATTGATATAACGGTCAGAGAATGCAGGCTGTAGAGGATAAGCGGCCTGAATGTGTTTTTTTTTTTTTTTTTTTTTAAACACTCGCATACATAACTAATTAAATACACATGTGTTGTAGTCAACTGCATTTAAACCAAGTTTTTTGGTGGTGTTGGCCAAGTAGTCTTGTCTTTGTTTACACAAACATTGGGCAATGCTGGTGGATGTAAACGCGGTTCTTTTAGTCCTTGTTTTCGTTTCACTAAACAAACCGCATTTGAATATAGAAGTACAATGTGGTCTGACATTGTTTATATTGAGTTATATAACTTATATTACTCACACACGCGCAATCCATCATACATACACTTTTCTTTTACCTTTCATATATTTAGTGCTGTCATAAGTTCTCATTAGAGAATGTTTCATAAGCAAAGTGCTCATGTTTTGTTGTTGTTCTGGTAGTTCTGAGCTCCGTACTATTTGATTTTTTAAATATTTAGTATGTCTACAGTGCAGCATGGGCCTATTATTATTGTCATCATCATGTCTTCATTTGCAGGACTGGTGACAGTACGCTTGGCGGGCAGCAGCCTCGGAAACATTATGGCATCACGTCTTCAATCAGCCTGGCCTTTCCCAGAGAGATAGACCATATCTACACTCAGAAGCTTACTGAGGCTATGAAACCATTTGGAGTGTTTGAGGGTGAAGATGAACTCAATCACAGGTGAGGGCTTTCATTTATGTGACTTTGCTGATTGAGTCACTGCTTTCCAGTGGTTAAAGAGGCTTTATTATTTAAATATCTGTTGCTCTCTGTTGCTATCCTTTTTGTTGCTAACTGTGTAGTATCTTTGATGAAAGTACTAACATAAACCTTTGAAGTAACTTTAAAGTAATCTTTATATCCTTACCGGATAATATCTTTCAGACATGTGTAGTGGTGTTTTTTTGTTTTTGTTTTTTTAGTGGACATTGACTTATTTTTTGGACATCTTATCCTTATCCTGCTCATCTTTCCCAAAAATAGAGTGCTGTAAAGCGAAGCACACTACAAGGATTAAATGACAAGTTTGGAGATTTTCACCAGCTTTGTATTGCCACACAGTAGAATGTGTAAATGAAATGTGTACTCGTGCTTCCGCATTTTTGTATCCCTGCCCATGGACAGTCAGATTGACAGAGAGACCTTGGATGGCAATGATCCCAATGCATTATGGGTGTTGGAAGTTTCCCAACCTTTTTGGGGAAAGGGAACACCAAAGCCTTTTTCTCTGTTTTCTCAAGTCATGTAGCACCCATTTAAAAAAAGATACTGCATAGACAGCCTAGTTTTATTCAAATTCCATCTTGTCAGCGGTGAATTGGCCAATTTTTCATGTTTTACTCTACAACATTTAATCACTCCTCTGGTGTGTGAACTTGTGAGGCATGCTACCACAGATTTAAACACAGATTTGTTTGCTATCCGGCTGACAAGTTTTCAAGTGCCGTAGAACTGATGCTCAAGTGTGCACAGGACAGCAGTCTTTAGTCTTGTAGTGTACACTTGGAGAGGTGTTGGACATTAATAGTCATTACACCATAGTTCAAACAATATACCATCATAATGTGATTTCATAGGAATTTTATTTAGGCGCTAAAGAGAGTACCCGATAAAAATTATTAGCTCCAATGGGATTGCTTGGTGTCCTAATGGAGACCCGATTTCAAGGGAAGACCTGATTTCTCACAACAGTGGCACTCTATCATACATAAAAGTACAAAACTATGTAAAATATCTTACCATACCCTGGTGTCTGAAGTGCATTTGTTTTGCAAGCGGTAAAACACTGAGACCATTAAGAAATTGTGTAAAACAGTCATGTTACAGCTTTTTGAAAGCACTTTTTTTTTTACTTTATCCTCATATTTAACAAACTTTTTTTTTTTTATAAGAAGATTAGCTTCTAATGTTTTTTTTTTTACATAGTTTGATTTGTTGCTGGTTTAAACTAAATATCCTTTAACTTGTATTACAATATTAGGTGTATAAATTGTCTCCCACAAACTAGTTTTTGCACAGTGTCTTGTGTGTTTGTAGGCATTAAAAGGGTGTTTGTGTGTTTTATAGGCTTGCAGTTCTTGGGAAGCTGAATTCATTTGTGAAGGAGTGGATTGCAGAAATCAGTGAATCAAAGGTAAATAATACTGCAGGTCTCTTGACCTGATCACCAAGTAACATGATGAGATGCTTTTCTGAATCCTCCCTTTTCCCTCACAGAGTCTTCCACCGTCAGCAGTAGCAAATGTTGGTGGCAAAATCTTTACGTTTGGGTCATATAGGTTGGGAGTGCACACAAAAGGTACATTTAATGAGCTTGATTGTACTGTAGAGCAGCAGAATGACCTTTAAAGATCTGCAACCGTAAATTAAGAAAGGCTTCACTGTTATAAAGGGGTATATGTACTGTATTGTGCATATCAAATTGTTTTTTTTCTTTAGGTGCTGATATAGATGCTTTGTGTGTTGCCCCACGTCACATTGAAAGAACTGACTTTTTTTCATCCTTCTTTGAAAAACTAAAACGGCATGATGAGATTAAGGATCTACGAGTGAGTACCTTTTCTGTTCCTCATTTATGCCACTGCTTTGTTTAAAGAGTGACTTTTATCCGTATAATTCCTTTTCAGGCTGTGGAGGATGCATTTGTACCAGTCATCAAGTTCAAGTTTGATGGAATTGAGGTAAAATAGTTGAAGTGTTTGATATGCAGCCTGGTTGATATTTTGTTTTAAACTTTTTTTTTCCTCCTCCACCCAGATCGATCTGCTGTTTGCCAGGCTCGCTCTACAATCAATTCCTGATAACCTGGACCTGAGAGGAGACTCTCTCCTCAGAAACTTGGACATCAGATGCATTCGCAGTCTAAATGGTAATGCCCTCTAACATTTTATTTAAATGTCACATTTATAGTCTAATTTGTCTGTTATTTTTTAGCTTTACTTATTATTTTTGTGTTTTGCAGGTTGCCGTGTTACAGATGAGATTCTATATTTGGTGCCTAATAAAGAGAACTTCAGATTAACATTGAGAGCGATTAAATTGTGGGCCAAACGTACGTCTGATTTAAAACTTGCCTTCAGACGCTTTTTGTCTGGTTTGAAATCAAGACTTCTGATCTCTTTTGTTCTGAATCTTGGCTTGACATGCTAAAATCAAGTCAAGACTGCAATTCCTCTATCCAAATGCTGTTGCCGCCACACTTGTGCACAAGTTCTTTCTGGTCTTCTCTAAATGGTGAGGTCATAGCACATCGTGTTCATATGGTGGAACTGAAACTTCACGTATTGTTTTGTTGATAATGTCTAGTCCTTTCCTGCAGCCATGGAATATCCACAATCCCACCTCACCCCCCTAACTGCATTTCTGGTCTAATTTTACTTCATCAGGGAATGGCCAAACCCTGTGCTTTTAAAACAACCTGAAGACAGCAATTTGAATCTGCCAGTCTGGGATCCACGGGTTGGTATTCTTATGTTCACTGTAAGGAAATACAGTTTTCTAGTTTTCTGGACTTTTCTCTATACAGTTTGTCATTTTATTTTTAGGTGAATCCATCAGACAGGTATCATCTGATGCCAATCATCACTCCTGCATATCCACAACAGAACTCTACCTACAACGTGTCCACTTCCACACGTACCATCATGAGTGAAGAGTTCAAGAATGGTGTGTAATAGATTGTCTCTTATTGGCCATTTCTCTTGACCATTTGCTCATTTTTCCAAATTTCCTGTTTAAGGTCTCACTGTTACAGATGAAATTCTTCAGGGTAAAGCCGATTGGTCCAAGTTGTTTGAACCTCCCAACTTTTTCCAGAAGTACAAGTAAGTGGATATCCACAGTGTCATATTAAAGATCAGTTCAATCAGTTCCTTTAATGTTGGTTGTTTTGTTTGCAGGCACTACATTGTCCTCACTGCCAGTGCATCCACTGAGGAAAACCACCTTGAGTGGTAAGAGCTCAAAAAATTTCTTGCTTTTTTTGTGTGCAAAAATATTTTTGGAATTTTGATATTTGTGTCAGATACTTCAAAAAAAAAAGTTTGGCTTGCTTCAGGCTAAAAATCTACCTCAGTTAATGCTGTAAACTATAGGGAGTCCCATTACGTGCACATTACTATAATATTATAGGAGCCCGAATTATTAAATTCAATTGCCATTTCATTTTGGATATAATAATCAACATTTAAGTAAAGAAATAAATTGTATGAAAACATGTAAATCCCACATAATCCAGTTTTTACATTACTTTCTATGTATGTAATTTACACAGTGGCTGTCAAGATTAGTTTTTATGACCGATTGATTTAAATATACATTAAATAATTAGACGTCACTAACAGGTAATATATAATAATTAATATATTGGCTAATATTTAGAGAAATGCTCAGTCTTTCCTGAGGTAAATGTAATGCTATGTGACTTTTTTTCCCTCACAAGCTATTGTGTTGACGTCTTTCTGTGGTTGAGCGATTACGTGACACGAGATGTCCGCGTAGCCATCACGCCACATCAAAGAGAGTCAAAATGACATTTATTGCTTGAACTTCCTGAAAAAAACAAAAATTGCCGGAATTTAAAAGATGAGGCTTTGTTTCCTATCAACAGTAACAATATTTAAAACTGGAAGTTTCAAATTTGATTCGGCACATGCAGTGGTTAAAACAACGCTGTATTTGTTCTGTTCATACAAAACATTTTCAAATACATGTACCATTCCACCCATAATGTTCAATATTTTGCAAATTCTCTATTTACACTCTCTAATCAGTTCTCTGGTAAAAAAAAAAAATAATAATTGGGTTCTGGGTATGGAATCACAGAATCTTCATATAATGATGTTCTGGCCTCAACAGGATTGGACTGGTGGAATCAAAGATAAGAGTGTTGGTTGGAAATTTGGAGCGCAATGAGTACATCACCCTTGCCCATGTCAACCCACAGTCTTTTCCCGGATCAAAAGAGAATCACAATGAGTAAGTAACAGATGGGTGGGTGGCATGACCAAAATGTTTTATCACCATAATGGTATGATATAGTGTTTTTGTTTTATTAATGTATAGCAAAATAAATAGATAAGATATATACAATTGTATCACATGACATGCCTCTGGTACAAAACCAAATCTTTGTGAAGGTAATTTCTGTACATAATGCAAAATAGTCTTGCACAGATTTATAGCTGTTCTGTGGCCAATTCACACCGCACAGACAAACGCCAACAAACAAGTTGGCTGTTCGATTTAGAATTTGATAACTGTCATGTTCACACTGCCCCAACAGACACTGACAAACTTCGAGTCAAGTAAGTCTGACTGCAGTAAACAATCAAAACTTTACTGTTATTAATGTCTTTGCGTGTCATTCTTCGCCTGAAAAGACGGTGAATAAAACGAAAGAGGCTGTGGGTGAAGCCGTGATTGCTGCTATGGGAGAGACAGGGCGCCTACTAGAATTTATGCAGAGAACTGCAGTGGGAAGATTTACAAAGGTTTCAAAATTTTGCTCGGGTGGTCCCTAATCAGTTTCGGTTTGCCATTTTTTTGATAATTTGCTAAGCACGCCAAGCACCTATTTGCAGTCTTGCCTCATTGTCATAGCAACGGTTCGTGGCCAGGTCAGTTTACGTCAGAGTTTGTTGGAAAATCATATCACACTGCTCGGACATTTCACGGCCCAACAAACGCCGTTTGAACATGTTCAGTTGGGTTAAAACAAACTGTTGTACCAGTACTTTTCTACCATTGTACTGGATTTCTATTGTATTGCCATCCTGCTATAATAAACATGAGGCTAATGTTTTGTTTGGTCTAAAATTTCGATTTTAGCAGTATGCTCAGGGTTTCAGCTTTGCTTCCTAAATTACCTTTAATCAACATTTTATAATACCCATACTTATTTTGGGGCCATGGAACAGTACAACAGTGAATGAGTGCTCAGCCAGTGTGAGTTTTCCAACAGCGGATGCTGATATCAAATGGCCTGTATATACAGACTACTCAATTGACCTTTAGATCTTAAAAATCTTATAAATTTGCACGCTTTTTTTCCACAGGAATGAATTTGTTTCCATGTGGTTTATTGGAATCAGCTTCAAAAAACTGGACAATTCTGACTGTGTGAATATTGACTTGACCTACGACATCCAGTCCTTCACAGATACTGGTAAGCTGCTCAGCTTCTATTGTTTTCCACCATGCTCATGTCCTGTGGATGTAGTTGTGGAAACTTGGGGTCTTTTAATGTCTAAAAGTGGTGTTTCATTGTAGTTTACAGACAGGCAAGCAATATCAATATGCTAAAGGATGGCATGACTATTGAGGCCACACATGTGAAGAAGAAACAGTTGCATCATTACCTGCCTCCTGAACTTGTGCAGAGGAAGAAGAAGGTAAAAAAAAAAGTCTGTTTATAGTGTCTCTAAAAAAGCTAAACTATATCCTAAATGTATCCTATCTCTCTTTTGGGCAGAGTTTGGGAGAAATAAACCGGAGCTCAAATGGTGGCGGGTCAAAGCGCTGCTCTCTGGATGGCAGTCAGCTTGACAGCTCCAGGGACACCGATATCGGTACCCCTTTCAGCTCTCCTACACTAGTCAGCAAACCATGCCAGCCAGTCTCCTCACCTGAAGACAGGTAGTGTCACTGATCAGGACAAAATCTTTGTGATTTAGCTAGTTCAGACCAAATGATTCTCAGGAATTTCTGAAAGATTGCAGGATTTTATGCCACCTGACTCAAATACCTCTCCAAGGGACTGAAATGCCATTTTCAGTTTATGGTGTCACTGTTGACTGCCAGCAAGCCTTTACAAGTTCTAGGGGTTGGAACAGAAAACAAGACTTATTACTCTATTCTTGGATATTAGTAGAGCTATTACTCTACTCTTGCTTCAGTGCGGAAATTATAAATGTCACAAACTGCATGTTTTTTTGTGGTCAAGCTAATTTTATGGCCTCATTTTCAAACACAAGAAATGTTTAAATAGGAGTTAGTTGTAATGTCAAAATGCTGTTACTTAAAATTACTTCCAATTACTTAAATCACTGGCAGCGTCTTATAGCAATGTTTTAATTTGTTTCTATATGAACTTTTCTTAATTTCCCTTTTTTTGTTGTCAGTAGTATCACCCCACCAAAGCATCCAGTCCTTGTATTCATAGACAGCCCAACAGCATCAGAAGTTTTTCCTCCAAAACCAGAACAGGGAATGTCCATTCCAGTCATCGGATCCAGTAAGTGCTATCATGAACTTACTTGTTCCTGTTTTTCTATTGGGGAAACACACACTTTTTTTTTTTTTTGCATTCATTCTGATTCCACTCATCTAGTTCTTTTAATTTTTATTTTTTTTTCAGTGCCCATCGCCACTCCAGCTGCCAAGCCCCCAGCACCTCCCGCTGGCAACACCATTCCTACAGTGGTGGGACGTAGTGTGATACCACGTATTACCTCTTCCTCCCCTAGCCCCACTGAACTGCCCAACAGTGTCAATGGAGCACCAAAGAGACCTCACTCTCCATCTCAGGAGGATCCACCTAAGAGGCACAAAGATACAGAGGTGCTAAGCTCTTTATAAAATACACAAGCTAAGTCAAGAAATCCATTACAATTGATCAACCTTTCTGTGGATCACTAATATAAAAATATTTAATCCAGTCTAAAAACTGTAAGCATGGCTTAATATGTAAATGAATTCTCTTTTGCTTCAGGTGTTTTCTGATGACTCTGCGTTTAAAGAGCCATACCCTCCAAATAGTAATGGCTTGGACTGTGAAGAGAGGCCAGCAGTGGTGAGGGTTTTGTTTATTGCATTACTCTCAGGTGTTGACCACAGTTGGCTCATGTCACTGAAACTGTTTTCTTGCATAAACACAATAAGACCTCACACAATGTTAGTGCAAAAACAGTTTTGTTTTTTGACATAGGAGGGTCTTTCAGCAACCAAACCTATGCCAATACCAACAATTGATACATCAAGATCACAGGTAATTGACCTGATCATCATAATTTGAAGTCCACATCGGAATTGAAATTATTTTTGACCGTCTTTTGTGTTTTCAGAGACTACCTAGTAAAGAGCTTCCGGATGCATCTTCCCCAATTCCCACAAGTAATCTCCGCGTGGTTAAAAATTCAATCAGGCTCACCCTTAACCGATAACAGTGAGCTATCTACAGGTAACATGAATTGTTACTGTTGCTGCCACTCTTGGGTTTGCCCTTTAATCTATTTTTCTCCTCTTCTTGAACATCTGTCTGCACAGGTTGTCCCTTAAAGAGTGGAACCACACTTGTGTAACAGCAGTGCTGCTTTTAAACTGCTACTGATATTTGGCTGGTCTTCCTGCTTGTTACAGAGTTGCAGAGTTCCTGCTTGTAAAGTTTTGCCCCCCCCCCACACACACACAGTTTTTGTTTTTTTTTTATGCCTTATTGTGTCAGAATGCTTGCTTAAACATCTATTTGAGCTTTTGAAACATTGTACAGTAGATGTAGTTTGTATATAACTTTAAAAATCATTGTTAGTCTTTCTATGCCACCTTAATGTAGTTTTTATTAACAAAAAAAAAGTTTACAAAAAATTGTCCTGTTTGTCACTGTAAATTAGATTCTTCATTGTTTGTCCGGAGGTTTTCCTTGCAGTCTTATTCACTGTATTGGTTCTGGTACAGTTTCTGGGAGGACCTTTTGTGTGGGGTGCGTATGTGTGTGTGTGTGTGTATAGATGGAGAGACCTTTAAACATCTCTTTAATCCCCAGAAAAAAATAAGGCCCCTTGTGTTTTTGTTTTTTTTTTTTTTTTTTTTCAAAACAGTGGTCTTTGCATTACAAGGAGAAAAACCGGGGCCTTTATATACCTATTCTTTACCAAGTGTAGGCTATCAGGTGATAAGTGTCATTGCTTAGCATGACGTCATCGACTATGGGCGACCCCTGTGACGTACATTTTAGTAATAAGGTTGTAAACACGTCGCGTTAACCACTGTCTTCATATAGGTGCTTCAAAACCAAGTTATAAATAACCCTATGGGTACATATCTTTGTAATTAACAATTCAAGTCAACGCGTAATTTCTCTCTAAGAAGTGTTATCCTCTGTTGTTGGACATAAACTTCCTTGTTCGTGGGATATTCCCACTGCGTACAGGGGATTACCCTAACCAGTAACAGTTGCGTGAACTTCAGCAAATAGCCTACAAGCGGCGTCCATTTTAAAAACAGTGAGCGACTGGTCATTCAGTCTTAATAACAATGCCCACTGTTAAGCTAAACTGTCTTTTCTTTCAAAAGTTGATCATTGGTACTTTAAAGGAATAGTTCACCACACAGTGAACGTTCTGTCGTTATTTCTGATCCTAATGCTGTTCCACAGGCTTTCTTTCTAACGTGGACCCACAAAAAGAGATGTTAAGCAAAATGTGAGTGACTGACAGCGGTCACCATTCAATATCGCTGCATCTTTTTTCCATACATTGAAAATGAATGGTGACTGGAGCTGTCATTTTGACTAATGTCTCCTTTCGTGAACGAAATACACGATGAGTTGGAACAACATAAAGGCGATAGTATTTTCATAATTTGATTAACCGCCCCTTTAAGTATGTATTATAAGAGGACATTTCTATAATCAATTAAATAAGCAGGAGAACATAAAGAGTGAAAAAAATCCCAGCAAGTTTCTGATTTACTGAAATGAAACTTTTTGTAAGAAATTACATTTTTCGTGGGATTTCAAAATCTCAAAACGTATTCTTATTGGTTGAAATGGAAAGTAAAGTAAATACATTCATTATTACAAGCACCTTGACGTTTCTCGTTTTCTTTCTGCCTAATTTGAATTTTACGTCGCCCTATGCACATCGTTTGATTGGCTGTGCGTACGCTGAAGAGTATGGCAAGCCTGATTAACATATATTTAAATAGTATATTTTTATTTCTAGTACTTATTTGGTATTTAATATGTAATCCAGTAGTGACTGCTATCTGTTCAGTTAGATACTATGTAAGGAATAATTGACGATGGGTCACTAACATAAAGTGGGTGAGAGAGAGGAAGATTAGACATTAAATAATAGACATCTCAAATTTAAGTTATGCTAAAGACTATATGCAAATCTGAGTAACATATTACCAGCATCCCAGTCATTTAATTCTGCCGGTAGATACCTAAACCTAAATTATGATATTGCTTGCTTTGTGGCGGGATTACCACCTTGGGTGTGTATTATTTTTCTAATAATTCAACAACACAGTCAATTATTCTGCTTATACTACAGATATCACACCTCAAAATGTCGATTTATTTCAAGACATATTTCAGGTTTTTGTCTCTAAAACGCTTGTGTGTATGACTAATTTTTTACACATCCCATCTCAGGCCTCTGTTGCTAATTTTTAGAGCTTCCATACTTTTTTTTTTAATTATTATTTACTAACTCAGTTTTGTGTGCGTGTGCATGAAATTTGCCATGGGTTTATTTTCTAGGTTGCCTAGGTTACTTTACAACAAATTATATCTGTACCTTAAATTTTTTTCTTGGGAGTAATCTCTATGAAATATATAAATTAGGTGTAGGTATCTGCTGGCAGAATTAAATGCCTGGAACGCTGGTACCATGTTGGCTAATCAGTTTTCAATATAGTCTTTGGCATAAATTAAATCTGTAATGTCTAATATTTCTCTATATTTCTTTCTTGCACTAATATGGTTTTATATTATTGGCAAACACCTTATTTTAATGAATGAAAATGTATGCAAGAAACATTTTAACAATGGCATATGTATTGCAAGACTGAAAGTGGTAATTAGGCTCCACAAAATGTTATCAACACAGAAAGCACAACAAAAGAAGAACAAAACTTTTTAAAAACTTTTTATTTTTGATGTTATGCTTTCTGTTTGTTTCTTAGTTACTAGTAACTATCCACCTATCTGTATTGGTATTACTAGTGTTTTTTAAGATAGTACTAGAGTCTGTCCCACTTGTTTCTACTAACATTTTTTCACTAGTTGCAATTTCTTTTTTTACTTTTTATAAGTAATTACTAATTAGAATGGCTTCTTTATAGTTCAATTAAAAATCTTAGTAGTTACTAGCTAGTAACAAATGGAATAAACACTAGTGTCTAATAAATAGAAACTAGTGGCTATTTAATTAGAATTAAGAAAACTGGACAAGAACTATATGAAAAGTTACAACAAAAGAACAAGTACTTGCACCTAATGCATAGCTGTTAGTAAAACTAGTATTGTGAAAGTAAATAGTTACTTGCCACTATTGAAATAGTGAGCAGTAGCAAATGAGAAAAGAAAATACTAGTATCTAATAAGATATTTATTAGCGAAACTGGAAAAGTCACTATTGTGTTGTGATTTATTGCTAGTACGTTAAGAATAACTGAGAAAATACTAGTATCTAATAAGATATTTATTAGCGAAACTGGAAGAGTCACTATTGTGTTGTGATTTATTGCTAGTACGTTAAGAATAACTGTTAAGTCAAGTCAAGTTTATTTGTACAGCGCTTTTCACGATACAACTCATTGCAAAGCAACTTTACAGCAAATTAAGTTTCTACAATATTTAGTGGTAGCTTATCAGTGGTGACTGTCAATTAATATACATATGGCAGAAATGTATGGAAAAATCAATTAAAGATGTAATAAAACAGACGATGAACACTACTAACAGCAATTATTATATGATGCAATCAAACTTATAGTAAAATGTGGTAGTTCTGTATGTTGTTTCAGGGTTGGCATCATCTGAGGTCCTCTGAGGGGTTGGCATTATCTCTTCTCAGGTGTTCTGGATCCAGACTGAAGCTTGTGTAAATCCTAGTTACATCCCATGGCAAAAAACAGAGAAACAAATAGAGACATATTTAGCGTAGCTGCTGTTCCAGCCAAGCAAAATTGATTTGTTTAACCCAAACTAAAGAATAATAATGTGCATTTGATCAGATATAACTGCAGTACAAGATTATGAGATGCATTATAAACCGGCTGTTGGCTGTTAAACCGGCTTGCCACAGAGGGGCGTGACGTGTTATGTGGGCGGGCATATTGTATATAGTGGGGGAATTCCCAGTCAGTAGGCCTACTCTTCTGTGTTGAAGTGTTACTGTATATCTGTTCAGCACTTTAGAGCTCGGACGTAAAACCTAAGACAAGGGTGTTCGCATAACATGGATGGTGAGTATCAGTATTTATTAAATTAATCAAATGTCTTTTTCTTTTCCCTTTCTTGCTCTTTGCTGTCTTTAATTAAATTATGCGTAGAATTCAAGTCTGTGTAATAGATATTCGATTCAGAACATCACCGTTGTTTTGAGTCGTTTAGATAGTAATTTAAAGGTACTTAATCTACCAACTCATAATTTTTATTATGTAGAATCCCTCAACAACAATTACTTTGTATGCTATTGTCCGTTTTCTTGGGTTTGTAAAACTTGATAAATGTAATCTGTAATCTTACAATATGACCTGTTCTACATTGTTCTCAAATCTGATTCTGTTTAAGAAAAACTATACAGGCTCGTAGTTTTATATATTGCAGGAAATAAAAAGCAGAGTTGTCTTTGTGGAAGTGTACAATCACAGAAATCACTTGCGAAAAGCAATATGATTCGCATTACCTGAAAACAAATTTCTAAAGTTAAGACTTCGAAACTGACGATAAGTCTTATGTAAACTAAACAAATCAAATGAGTTGTCAGTACATGAATACATGAGGGACCAAGTAACACCAGGAAATAAAAATGAGGAACTTTAAAAAAAAAAAAAGTTTAAGCTTCAGCTCTTATTCTCATCTGCACGTTTGTCCATTCTTGTACAATATCAAATGAATTACAATATATTTAGCTGATTGTATTAATCGATGTTCTTCTATCCATGCTTTCCTGTACAGTGCATTCCCTGTCAATGCACAGGGACCCCAATCTAAGTAAGTACATCTTCATCTGTGCCAAGTGTGAAACGCATTCTGTCGTTACTAACGTTAGTAACATGTTTTGAGTCAAGTTTAGGGTGGATCATAAACTTTGCCTAATTACTCATGAAGTATGTTTAAACGTCACCCAGTTGCCCTTGTAAAAAAAAATTTAAAAAAAAAATTGTTCAGATTTCCTTACCTTACTTCCTCTTTTATTTGATAAAGATATAACTTCCTGTAAGTGGCAAATCTCTTGAGCAGACAGTAGTGAGTGACATCTGTACCCTTCACTAAAGCATACATTAGATCTATTTCATGCATTATAACCATAGATTTAATAGCTTCCCCATCTTATTTTATGACATTTCACAGTGTAAGAATGCATAGGCAAATAGATCTCGCATGTTCTTGTCAATGTCAGAAGCAAGTGTGTTAAAAACAACCAAATATATTGCATGGCAAATGCAGCTGTTTGTGCAGGTGTTTGAATAACGTATGATATGCTTAGTTTAATGGCACCTGGATGAGCTGGTAAAGGTCTGTGCTGACAGGTGCAGAGAGTGGGAAATTATTTACCAGCAGGCTGGGTTGTTTGTGGTCAGGTTATGGTCAGGTTCTGTGAAAGAC